TTTACTGTTATGTACTTATTTGTGAAAGTTTTGTGAATAAACCTTCTCAGCTGTAGCTTAAATCAGTACATTCTTTGAAATTGGTATGAAAGTGACTTCGACATAGAATGATGAGTCACAGGCAAAAACAATGCATTCAAATTATTTTTAATGATCTCGTTAACAGAGAGCGTAATTCAATATGACTGTTCAGTCGAGGGTCAAGCGAGTCTGCCTCGACGAGCGTTACTTGTTTTAACTGACGAATATCTGAAATTCAAAAACAAATATATTATCAGCGACACCTAGTGGAACATGTGGTTTAACAGTTTATCGGTTAACTTAACCGGTTGCTTTTTCTCACAACGATTGGTCTGTTATTATCTACTTGAATTCACTGATCTCTATACATTCGATTCGAAGCCGTAAACGCACACACACTCTCATTGTCTTTTTTTCGTCGATAGCATCATTTTCATACAAAAGACTGGTCGAAACGATGGGTAAACTTGATAGAAAAGTTGCTTATATCACTGGTGGTGCAGAAGGAATAGGTTTCGCTACTGCTCAGCAGTTCGTTAGTGAGGGTGCTTACGTCTTCATTACAGATATAAACCAAGAAAAGTTAGATTTGGCAGTCGAACGAATTGGTAAACAAAGTATCACAGCAATCAAAGCAGACGTATCGAAACTCGATGAACATCGCCACGTGCACAATGTAATTAAGAAAGAAAAAGGTAAACTTGATATAATCTTTGCCAATGCAGGTATTGCTGGTACAATGCCGTTGGGGTCAATTACTGAACAATATTTTGATGAAATGTTCAACGTCAATGTTAAAGGTGTACTGTTCACTGTTCAAGAAGTTTTACCACTTTTAAATGACGGTGCTTCGATCATTCTCAATGCTTCTATTGCTACTATCAAAGGTCCGCCAGCGTCGAGTATATACAGCGCAACAAAAGCGGCGCTCCGTTCATTCGCTCGTTCCTGGGCTGTGGATTTAAAATCTCGTCAAATACGTGTCAATACTATTAGTCCAGGTCCAATCGATACAGCTATGTTATGGAATATGTACGATACCGAGGAGAAATCCAAAGCATTTGCTGAAAGAATTACTACAGCTACAGTTCTCGGTCGAGTTGGTCAAGCGGATGAAGTCGCTCGTACCGTCCTTTTTCTCGCCTCGAACGATAGTTCGTACATTACTGGTATCGAACTTTTTGTTGATGGTGGTATCGCTCAAATCTAGAGGTTCATTTTTACTTGTTGTATATGATTACATATATTAGTAAATGAAGTTTCAATGACGTTTGATCAGTTTGATATTGATGGCTTCGGGTTGGATGGTGAATCTATCTTTGATTTAAAAAACCGTCTTCTAAATGTTCACCAGGTAAAATTGTATAGTTCTGAAGTAGATGTACCAAAGCCATTTTGATTTGCATCAGGGCAAATCACATTCTAATGCAAACACGCAGTCCAACACCGAATGCCAGGAAAGCGACTGGATTTCGTTCTACTGTGTGTCGCTCAGTTACAAATAGATTAGAATCATCTGGATCCCAGAGATCCGGATTATAATGAATAGAACATACGTAGAAGTATATTATACGAACTCTCGTCGACTGTATGTCCACATACAATCGTTGTTTCATTGCATCGTCTGATGATTCCAACTGTGGTGATGGGAAACATGCGAAGAACTTCTCGTATAAACAGATCCATATAGGTTAGTTTTGTAATGGAATCATAGTTGATACCACGTTCTTTGAGTTCATCGACTTCTTCTTCAAGTTTTTGCTGAACCTCATATTTAGTTGCTAGAATGTACGTACAGTAAGTCATTGCTGTTGATGTTGTTTCATAATCAGCGACCATAAATAAAAATACGTTCACTTTGACTTCATTGATATGCAATCGATTTTCTTCAGCATCACTTTCATCAGTAGCTGCAGCGTCCAGTAACAACTGAAGTAAATCATTTCTCGTCGCTGTTTTCGAGACTGTTGTGCGAACATCGATAATACCATCTACCTTTCACTGAAGCCACATCGTAGGTGCAGAATCAACAATATTAGGAAACAATGCTGGGGCTATGCGACGTAAAAACTGCCCAAGCCATAATTGACTACGAAGGAGTAGAACGAGAATAGGTGTGATCCATGGCATAAGATAACTTAATTTCGTCAACAGAAGTGTTTCAACATGTTGATCAAAATATGCATCTGCTTTGATCATAAATTCATTGCAAATATCGTTTTTCATGTCAGTATCTAATCCGAATGCACAATGACCTATAGAAATTTCGAGAATCGAAAGCACATATTCTACAAATAAGAAGTTCCGACTTACAAATAACATCCATCGTCAAATGTCTGTACCACAAATAGATATTGAATTCTTTCGTATTTTCTTCACTGATTTCAGTTAATTTCTTCATCAATGCATCAATACATTGATTGACCAAGAGTCGTCCCGTAGACATTCGTAGCAGGAATGAAACTCGATGTGATTGGAATACCGAGAATTGTTTGGTAAACTGCCTTCGAATAAACCATAGATTGGGCCGAATTGTTTGGTCCAGGATTGTAAGGGTATGATAATGGCCAAGGAAAAATAATGGCGACGGGCCGGGAATGCTACGACTTCGAAAATAGTTATAACGAGATCTTACGACGAAAAACCATTTAATAGCAAAACAAACAAGACACATGAAAAGAATAGTCGTGATAAACATAGTTATAATTATATGCAATGAAAGTAAAGTGCGAAAGTCAATGGGTCTTTGGATGTTTTTTGTTCATTCTTTATATTTTCGTTTCTACTGGTTATTTTTAGCAACCTCGATGTATAAAACCGTAATATCAACGGAAATCACATATTTTCTTTCTTTGTTGTCATTTCTCTTCAAGTCATGCATACGGTGTCTAATATTTGTCGAGTTGATCTTCGTTTAAATAAAGAAGATAGTGTCCGAAGAAATAACTATTTAGGATTCACTTTGTATACGTTGAAAATCGCTTTCAATCACAGCTCAATCCTTCATTAACACAGCGGTTTCATAGTTGTTTTTTCAAAATTTTTGTTGACATGTAATTATCGTATTCATGCAATGAAGAGGGTAGAGAAAAGTGTTGTGACACGTGTGCGTACGCCATCGTCAGATAAGACATCTATTTACTTTTGTGCGCATATCGCTTATGCAATATCACTATCAGAACACGATGATGAATTTAGTTTTTCGGCGAATTACAGTTCTAGAAGATGAGAGTAGATCAACTACCTCATGAGTATACCATAGATTTAATGATAATATGCTTTTTTCGAAAGAAAACATTTTATTATACGATATCGACATTGCGAATTATAAAAACAGATAACTTGAGAACAAACTACTTCCCGATCATTTTCTCACGTTATCACGGAACTTCTTATCAGCATCAAAGTTGGAAAAAGCCGACTGATGTTAAATAAATACTGCATTGTTATGAGACAATAGCATCATTTCCATTGTCTTTAGAACAGCTACGTTGTTTAAGAGGCTAAACACATGAATTCTCAAGCTGCTATTTTTCAACAAATTTTGTTCTCGGAAGTATTGACAACAGCTAATTGGAAAAAATATTTTCGTTTTGTTACCGACGCTGGTATCACCACAGTGGAAGATTTGCTTGAGACCCAGGACGAAACGATCGCCAATTTAAAGGAAAATATTCCCGAAGGTCCACTGGATCGTTTAATGCACTTGAAAAAGAATCTCATGAAAATTAAATTACAATGTAACAGTAGCTTCACCAATCCACTGAGTGCAATACAATTTTTCGATCAATTTGAATTTGTTCCTCAGTTTACTTCTCAACACTATCTGGCTGATAGTTCCATGCGGAATGTGGAATCAGAAATTACAAAAGCTACGACTAAAATTGAAGGTGACGAATACTCTGGGCTAACAAAGCAACAAGTGATTTTCATTGCTCTGTATTGTCAGGAATCATCTGAACCGAATGGTTCGTTTTACCATCTGATCAATCGGCTTTTGAGAGAACGAAACGAAAAATTGCTCGGTTTGCGACCTGCATTGTTTTTGCTCGAGTCAGGTCTTCGTAGTTTACCACCAATTGAAGACATCACGTGGCGCGGAATGAATACTGCACCAGATTTACGCAAATTTGTTGTGGGAAACATTGTACATTTTATCGGTATCTGCAGTACTTCATTGTGCAAAGATCAAACGCTTCGTTTTATGGATACACCACCTCCAACGAACATACACAAACGAACGCTTTTTAAATTGCGCATGAACAATGGTGTATCGATACAACAATGGAGTTGCTTTCCAAATGAACAAGAAGTTGTGGCATCGTTTTGTTCACGGTGGGAAGTTATTCGAGTCGAACAAGATCATGAAGAGCTGTTTCACAGTATTGGAACCACGTATCAATGTGACTATTATATTGAATTAAACCAATTAAATAGTGAACCATTATTTCGCTCAAATATCAAATTAACTGGTCTGCATTTACTTAGTCAAATCGAGTATGAAAAGCCCGACGACTTGCCTAAGAATTTCAAAGCAAAATTCCTCGATCTATTCAATCAATTGAATGATTCAACAGCACAAGGTATTCTAGAATCAGTGCTATCAAGTACCAATCACTGGAACTCCGAAACGAAGACGTTTAAGAATAATCCTGAAGATAAAGAAATACATCAACTGATAACTCAGTTTCTTGAAGGTGTCAAGTCACTTTCAACTGAATTTCAACATCATGGTATTGATCTAAAAGAAGGATTTGGAATATGTGATACGCATCAAATTTATGCTGTCATATATTTGCTTTACACTTCAGATCATGCTGAACGAACCATAGCAGATTTCCAACAGCTGGGATTTACTACCGATTGTGCGACGAAGCTTTACAATCAAGAATATGTGAAACAAGAATTGCAATTAGTGTATAAGAAATTAAATTGTAGCGGTACAGTTGATTCACCAAAGAACGTTTCTACATGGTTGTGTAAGTCAAGATTCAAGCATTATATTATGAGAGATGGAATAATGGTTAGCGCCTACGAATTGGCGCACATGTCTCTCAACGGTGCCAAACGGATATTTCCGAGACTTCGTAATGTGTTAAGCGGTAGTATACAGCTCGATAACTATACACTTTTGGCTAGAACCGTTAGCTATGAAATTCAGTACTCAGACTTTGTCATTGCTGCTGCGATATTCGCTGTTCAACTTGGTGTATACAGTTTTCAACTTTGGTATGGTGATATAACAGTTCGTCAGTTCTTTAAGTCGATAGCAACCTCTGCTGTCGCTGTGTCCGCTGGGTTTGCCGGCGGTATTGCTGCGGGATTTTTTGCCGCAGGCTGTGCTTCCTTATTAGGATTAACCTGTTGGCCAGCAGGAGTGCTAGTAATTGCAGGCACAACAGCTGGTGGACTCGTGTGTGGCGGTGGTGCAGATTTCCTAATGAGAAAGCTTACAGAAAAATTTTTCCCAGATGGCGAAAAAGAAGAGCTAAACGCCCTACGTAAACTCTATTTTGCAGCTTTAGCAAAACTTGCATGTAAACCCGATAGTACCATGCGAAGTATTCAAAAAGCTTTTTATCGAAAAGCACAAGCAACGCATCCAGATAAATGTGACGATAAGCCAGCTGCGGAGGAAGAATTCAAGAAGCTTTTAGCAGCTTACGAAATTGCTAAGAATTATCACGAAGTCCTGGAAAATGCTTGTAAAACATTAAATCTGCCGAATAACTACACTATTGCCGATGTGAAAGTACGAAAAGGTACAACAAAAAATAACAAAGAACAAGAACGAGCATACCAAATAGTTTATCGTCATCTTACTTATAACACCAGTAAATGGGGTAGACTACGCAACTGGTTTGACAGTGATCAACGTCTGAAATTACGTGATTCAAAACCATTACCTATAGAACAGGCAAAATCCACGAAATCGTAACTCGTTAATTAAATCTTCTCTGTTGACATATTTTATCAAGACTTGAAACGCTTTTTTTTTTCAATATTGTATTCATTATTAGAACGTTTTCGACTAATAAACGCGAATCTATACTAAAACCATTCCTATTGATAGAACCACTGAATGAAATCCAACGATAGCAATGATTTTACTGACTGCGTCACTATTATTGCATTATATAGTCGTGACCCGACACATTCAAGCTCACACCGAACAAATATATATGTACAACACACTTTTCAAAGTCCACTTAGAAGTGAAGTATTCTTCTTGTTGTTGACAATAAAATTAACAAAGATATAAAAGAGAGGATAAATTGAACAAATTAATTATATATATATAGCTTTGCGTATTGAAATCGACTATCCATCAGATCATTGTTTGCATTACTTCATTATAGGCTGGTGGTGGAGTTTCGGCATAATTCATTGATTGCAATTCTTGTTGTCGGTCGAAATTGCTGGCGGCTGCTTCTGCCTCTTGTTCTTGTTGTATTTTTCGGTATCTTCGTCTCCACAAGATTAATATTGTTGTTATCATCAGCAATAAAACTCCACCATATATATTACCATAGACCTTGAACTTTGATGGTAGCTTCCACTGCCAAGTCCATGCGAGAAGGGCATCATTTTTCGACCGATAACATGGATAAGTATGATTGATCTAACAGAATTGAACAACAAAATGAATTTTTAATGAACTGTCTAAATCTTTAATGAACCTGATATTTTTGTGCATGACTCCATGCACTATCTTTATAGGAGAAGCCATCCGCTGCAATGAGAGAGTAATTTATCGTTTTATTTTCATAGGTTGACGTAATATTCCAACGTGGATGGAGTTTCGAATCTCTAAATTTCATATCAATAGATTTGACTTGACATTTACCAACGATATATGTATATAATCGATACAATTCATAGAATCCTGCAGTAATTATTACGACACCGATAATATATCCCAAGAAAACAGCATTTATGTAAAGGGGACTTCCATCTACGACAATATAATATTTAAATTTGGAACAGAAGGAAGGTGATGGTATATTTCCCACAGTTGACATTGATTTCTGGAAAAAGATGAAGCCAACCTATTCATTCATTCTTCTCTTAATGACTTTTCCATGACCTTTTGACCGGTACTATGTATCCCCATACGATGAACTCTCATCAATTGTTCGGGTTAGCTTCCTCAAAGAATCGCTTGTCTATGCCAAAGCTTATTGTACTCACATTACACTATTGACTCGTGCGCACCCATACATGTAGTGGTCTTTGCTAAGTAGTGTTCGCGTAATTCTATACACTTTCTTCTTCGATTTAAAATGAGTACTCGTTCTTTTGTTACTGTCATTAATGCAACCGGTGCTCAAGGTCGATCAGTAGTTCGAGCGTTACCCAGCAAATAAATATAAAACATATTCGGTTTATGCGAAATACTCAAGAAAGTGCTCCATACCACTATCAAAATTTTTATAAAAAGCAGGTGGAAGAAAGTTGTATAACTTTTGATTGAAAAGTTATTTTGAACTGCGGTTTTCAACATTCAATAGAGGAGGATCGGGGGCAGATACCTATGTGGGAAAGTCACCATTCAAAGTATTTTGTCAGGTAGATTTTCGCTGACGAAATTTAGCATGTATTAAACGATCTTTTTTAGGACTTTTTTTCATGATGTTGGAACTCCAACATGCTCACTTCACACTGGTATCGAAGGAATTGTCTCAGTTTCCTCACTGGAAATATCAGAGATATTTCAACGGTGAAACTACACGTAAGACATTCCGCGCTAATAATTATGAAAATTTCATCAAAGTATACGCAAAATACAAGTTTTTTTTACTATACTAAGCAATATAAAAGAAAATAATTGCTTTTCGAAATCTTATATGACACTACTTAGTCATTCCCTTAGAGTGTGTTTGGCAGTATATAATGACAAATTAGAGAAAAGAAAGGAAAAATAGTATATGTTTGCGACAATTCTCTCGATCATTTTTTTCTTGTTCTGTTTGATATGCACATGCTTTATCTTATAGATAGTATATTTAGCAACAATGCCAACAGGCCATGAGTTTTCGCAAGAAGTGAAACAACTAATGTTTCATGTTATTGATTTGGTTGAAAGTGCGAAGAATGGTCCAATCATTCCTCTTTATAACGTGAAAGAGCGTCTTGTTAAAATGTTAAATATATCAGAAAGATCGGCGTACAGATTAACGCATGAATTACATCATTCAAGATGTAAAGAAATAAAGAAGATATCACAGGAACGAAAACAGATGGAAGAGAAAAGCAAAGAAGAGACAAGTGTAAAAAATCTTCGTAGTCGTACTATTATATATTCACCCTACAGTTGAGGGAATATCAAATATGACAAGTCTATTAAGAATGTGATCGAAAATAAAAATAATTAATAACATTTATGAAAACAGACAAATATAATGTAGAATAAATATTGAAAATAGTTTTCATATATTTAATTGATATACTATTTGATGTTGCATTGTAATTTGAAATTGTTGTTGTTATTGTTGTCGTCGTCGTCGTTGTTGCTGTTGTTGTTATTGTTGTCGTCGTCGTTGTTGTCGTTGTTATTGTTGTCGTCGTCGTTGTTGTCGTTGTTATTGTTGTCGTTGTTGTTGACTGGATACTGAAAAGTTCGGGTATATTTTCTATCATCCAAGGAATATAGGCTTTTACACGTAAAAATACAGTAGGTGATGCTGGTGAACCACAATCCCATGCATACGATGTTATACCAATAAGATACCAAAGATTATCCTTTGAAGATTGACTCATTAAAGGGCCACCAGAATCACCCTATTTAGAAATAATATGAATAAATTTTCATAATCTGTGATGACTTACACTACATGTTCCAGAACCACCTTCGAGTCGTCCGGCACAAAGTTGTAATGATGCATTGATAATCAATGGTCCTTGATCAGTTTTCATACATTCTAACGATGAACTATTCAGTAATTCTAGAGTAACTTCTTGTAATCTTAGAGATAAGTCAGTAGTATTTGGACTTGTCCTTCCCCAACCCAATGTTGTTGTATTTGATTTAATGCCAATATCCAGATCATTCAAAAGAGAAGGAAGACAAATAATTGGAAATTTTCCTTCTGTATCTCGTTCCAATTCGAGAACAGCAAAATCATAAACTGTTTGGTTAAAATCTATTGTTGACACATAATTTAAATGACGATAGATTGTTTTAACAGGAGAAATAAAATGATGTGTACTATTTAAGTAATGAAGACCAATATGTACTTCATATTGCCATGGAAGAAAAAGATAAGTACAATGACCAGCTGTAAGTACATACTTTCGATGAATAAGTGTTCCTCCACAGATATGTAAAGGAACATCTTTTGCTCGTAAAGAAATCATCCATGGCCAACTATCAATAGCAGATTCAACACCACCTGCTATTTTTGATTTTGGTTGAATACCACAATTAGATGTATTACAAATTGAAATAAATATGCAAAATACAATTGAAATAATTAGAATAAAAGTTAGCATCAAAAAGAGCTTTTTTATGTGACATGCAACAATAAAAATATATAAAGAAGAGAAACTTGCATATTCACATATGTCAATATTGTTTTGGTGTTCTTATCAATGAGATTACTCATATTAACTGTAAGTATTGTGTTTCTTGTTCGTTCTACAATAACTCCATATGTTGTTATATAAAACTATAGAATTTCCTGGTGTATATTTATGTTAAATGTTGAACTTCTATGATTGAATAGTTTTGTAAAGATTTTATGTTTTCTACATCGACTATAACTAAATTAATTATGTTTTTTCTCACCACCTCTGTAGCATATGCAAATATTCTCAGCTAGTTTTAAAATAGTTTCAATGATTGCATTTATTTATTTTTGTGTCATGCACAGCTTTTCCACGAAGTGTTAGTCTTTGCTTTGTATATGATATGATTGTTTTCAGCGATTTTAAGATAAAAAATAATGAAAATAATTGATATAAATATAAATATGGTGCTCATTTGTCGAGTAAATTATATAACCAAAGAATCCATTGACGCCGATGAAAATTGTTGCTATTCTTCTGTTGAGCTCGGCTGTGTTCGCTACAGCAGTAAATCAACATCACAAAATTGATATTATTGAAAACGGAATATTTATCCAACAAACAATAACACAATATGATGATCTTCAAATAATTGAAGTACCAGAACATGGCGATCGTCCTCATATTATGGTCTATCTTGATTTTCGTTCCGGTCTTCAATTGATTAAAGATATAAAATATAAGAAATGTCAATTGTCCAATATGGAACAAGAAACACAAAATACTAATCCAAAATCAATTTCTATAGACTCAAGTGATAATGGCTTTTCAATACCAAATCTTCCAGTCGATGTCAATAGTGCTGAGAAGATCCATGTTTTCAAATTAGAACAAGAAGAAGTTATTCAAAATACATCTTATCTTCGCCTAGAATTTCAGCAAGCTCGTGCTGGTTTAGGAATTCATTGGGCTAATTCAGTGAATGAAAAAGATTTGAATAGTATGATTCGAAATGGAGAAATATTCTATGATCGAGAAAAGAAGATCATTATGAGACCAACACATACAGATAGTCGACTTAATCAAAGAAGTCCTTGAATCCATCTCCTCAGAGCAGTCATACTATTCCGCAATGTTGAACATTTGGGAACCAGTTCCGCCTACGGAATTCGGGAATCGTAGGAACTGATTCCCAAATGTGCAACATTGCGGAATAGGATGTATTCTCGTTTTTGAATGTTCGATTACTCAATCTAAGAAAAGGTACAAATATTTCCAGCACGATAATTAGCAATCGATTAACCAAATGCTCCATTATCATGACTACGCTTCCACGTTCTGTACTAGTTATCGTCGTCTAGTTTTCAGTGTTGGTTGCCGAGACCCAGAAAAATAAGAAGAGGATGCTGGCTGACCGCTGAGAGGCCAGACATGGATGAACTGGGTGCGACCTGGGTGAAATTTCACCCAAAAGGCTTTGCGAAAGAAAACGCACCCAACTTTCTGTGCAGCACTGTTAGATTTCGAAAAACGTGTTGGTCGATCAGTATAGAAGTAAGTGTAGACGGTAATGTGAACATTGACTGATGCTGTAAACCTCCCTCTATAATAGAAGACCCCCGGGTCTTCTAAAATGGTGAACCGTTTAAAAGCTTAAATAAGTCTTGTATTATGAAGGGTTTTCTAAAACTAAGTCCTGTTCATACATAGACGAATTGTCACAAATGTACATCGTGAGAACATTATTCAATCAGTATATAATTACTATGAACTATATTTTTAATTAATGAATTAGAGAACAATGCGAAAGTATACAAACAAGTACAAACAAGTAACGCTCATCCTTTGGATTCGCTGACCCTTTTCTGAAAGACTTTTCCGAATGCTGAACACATTCAGAGACTTCGAAAGAGAAAAAACGCACTGCGATTGCTACTGGTGCTCAACTGAATCATGGCACTATGTCACACACTAGAACTAGAATAAATAGGATGCAGAGGTCTTTCTAGGAATCAGACCGATTAGCCATTTCTCAGTGGATAATTCTCCAGCACTAACTATGTTGACTGAAAAATTCATCGCTCAACGGCTAGTCAGTCGGCNGACAGAAAGACAGAAAGACAGACAGACAGACCGACAGACAGACAGACAGACAAACTTTTAGCATTTCGAGCCGTCGATTTAATCGCTGTATAACCCTTTCTTTCAGAAAAGGGAATTAACCATGCTAAAAGCAGTTTATAAGTTTTAAATTAAAGTGAAGAAAATCGGTTTAAGTTCTATCAAAATAGGTTAAATAATAAATATATCATATTCTAGAATTTTTTTATTAAAATACTTCTGTTTTCATTAAATTTATGTTTTATTGATACTTCAAGTACAAAGTACAAACTACAAGTTTTTTTACTCAAGTAAAAGTATCAAAGTATTTCACTAAAGTAAAAGTAAAAGTAGCAAGTACTTTTCAGAAAGTACAAGTACAAGTAAAAAGTAAAAGTAGCAAGTACTTTTCAGAAAGTACAAGTACAAGTACAAGTAAATCGTTTGAATACTTGTACTTGTACTTTTTACTTGAAAAAGTACGGAAAGTCCAAGTGTAAATACTTACTTCCTAGCTCTGTAGAGCGACCATATTCAGCGTACGTATTCATGAATCAAATGAATTAATAAAGTACACGATACCGAATGAAACAGTAAGAATGATATGAACAAATATTTGTATTAATTGTCCTTCTATACGATGCGAGTGTGTTGCCGAATGATTTTGTTGTATTGTTATACGAACAGTTTGTTCATTAAAATAACGGATAGGTGACATGTACACAGTAAACACTATTGTACTTATTCTAATGGATATACATGCTCTTCGTTTTGTACTAGTTGAATAAAGTCGACGTGTTTTTGCAGTAGAACAATATCGATCAAAGGAAGCTAAAATGACCATAATTCGAGTAAGATATAATGGTATAAATAAAAACCAATAAGCAAAGGATGTGTTAACCTGCGTTGGACATACTAAACAACTATAAATAGTAGATATACGGTGGAGCGCGAAGAGTACGTGAACATAAGATCCAAATACTAAGAACGTTTGTCGTTACAATCAAAGCAAAACCATGGATTGAACGAAAATGCCTGTTTGCAAAATTTGATTGTATAATGCACTCACATTTAATAAGTATTTCGGAAGAAATAGAAAACTACGTTGTGTTTGCGATCAACAGCTTAAATGTAGTCCTCCTTTTTTTTTCTTTTCTTTTTTTTTTACAAAAGGTGATATTTATATATAAAAGAAAAGAAAAGGGTATCTCCAGACATGTTCATATCGTTAACCGTTCATATTAAATTAACGTAAATGTCTCACTCCTATTCACAATATATATGGTAAGTTTATATTCGTTATATTAACTGGGATGCACTCGTACTCATCAGGTGCATAACTCAAATTCATTAATAAATAATGGTAAATGTTCCAACTTGTTCGAACGTAAGAGATTCAATTAAAATCGTATGTAGTACAATAACTTGTCAGGATGAGCGTTGTTCTTGTTTAGGAAGTTTTTATGATAGTTATCATTTGATATTTCTAAGAGTATTTAGAAGAAGTTCTTGAGAAGCTATGAAAACTTACATAAGCATTTTAGGCCATTTTTGAGTTTTAGAGAGACATTGAATTTTGACTCAATTGCAGCATGTAAGTCTATCCATTATAAAAATATAATCAAAAGAAAAATGTGTGAAACACAATTTCGACGAAGAGATCATAAATGTCCTATCAGAAAATATTATCGTATGATATATTGATAATGAGAGAAAAATATCACAGAAGTTTTCCTTTCATCGATATGAACATTGAAAATAGAGATGAAAAACCGTTTTTGAGTGCTTAATAAATGGAAAAAGGATTTATTATACGTTGTAAATTTATAAACTCGTATTTTTTTCAGTGTGACCTTTTCAATAGATAATAATCAAACAATATGATATACTTCCACATTTTTGCTACTTCCTATTCCATGACGTTATCAAGTCAGTTGATATAATGAAATTTTTTCTGCTGGATTTGGAAAAAAAAGAAAATTGGGGATTTCCAACTTACGTAAATGTCACGTTCTCTAACCATAAACCAAACGGAAGAGATAAACAAAGTGTGCTATTAAATTTCATATTAAAAGTATACAGAAAACAAAAGACATTTGATACAATAAAACTAATAAAAAGGTTATTCCGATAACGTTTTCTCTTATAAAAAGTAAACGTTTTTCTCACCATATAGGTCCAGATATTAAACAACAATGAATACAATGTATGCCGTTTTCTACTTGATTATGGTTGTGATGACAGGTAATATTGTGAAACTGAGAACAGCATTAGCGTGAAAGTCACCCTCATTACTATAGTACCTTGCTTTTTGTATCGATCGCACATTAGTGTGTAGATACCACTTTGTCACTCAATAAGCACAACTTCCAACAGTAAGTTATTTGAATAGTGTGTATTTGTTATTTTAGGTAAAGCCAGTTCATATGTACCAGGTAAGATAAAGATGGAATGCATGCCGTTTTCCCACAAGTAATATAACGTATTCTACTAATTATAGCTTTCGGTAGTGGTGGTTTTTCAAGCGGAAGCAATACAGGTAATATATATAAGAATTCATTGTCTCTTAATGACTTTCATTGAATCTATTTATGTGCGTCCAGGATACTTCCGTGGAAGCAATACTTTTGGTTATGGAATTGGTAGTGGAAACGGCCTGTTTAACACTGCAACTCAAAGGAATCCATTCTATGTTGATGTTGGTAGTAGAAACAGCCTGTTTAACACTGCAACTCAAAGGAATCCATTCTATGTTGATGTTGGTAGTAGAAACGGCCTGTTTAACACTGCAACTCAAAGGAATCAATTCAACTATAAAATTAATAGTGGAAATGATCTGTTTGGATGGGAAAATAGAGATAGCCTGTTCCATGTCAATAGTGGAAGCCGTCTAGTTAATTCTGTGCCCCAGAATACTGGTAAGTATTGCTGTTGTTGTGAATATTATACATATTGTGATTAAACGTTTGCATGGGTATTTTGGTACAAGAATTTTTTATTGTGACGTGAGTTGCACCAATATATAGACCTTTAGCCTGTCCTCAAAAGACTTAGAGACAAATAAGCGGAGCTCTTTACACGTCGAATGGAAACATCTTAAGTTGATATGAAATCTTTCAAAGGGTTTTGATTTCATTGCAAAACTAGTGTCGTATTACACCTTTTTTACTTTCAGTGCGTACACTGTCATACTATGAGACTTTCGAGGTGAACTGCAGTCTAAAGAACTTCTATAGGTTATTTTCTTTTATAATTGACTAACATCACCGCTAGAAAACTTTACACAAATCTTATGTATTTTTGGCCGCGGAGTCTACAAAAAATCTCTTTGCAATAAAATGTAGTCCATGAGAAATTGTATCTTTCTATATGCGGTGTTGATAAGTTTGAGTGAAACTCCGTATGTCAAATATATGAAAACTGCTTTGCCACGTCATTTTGCTTTCACATTATTGTTTCGTTATAGGAAATCAACAATTTTCGAAAGACGACTTTCTAGAAGCAATTCGCTCAAAAGAGAGTGGTAATGACTATAAGGCACAAAATCCTCGTAGCTCAGCTTCGGGAGCCTATCAATTCATCGATAAAACATGGCGAAGCTTAGGTGGCTCAACAGCACATGCTAAAGATGCTAGTGCTGCCGAACAAGATCGAATTGCAAGCAGATATGCCGAACATCTGTTGAAAAAATATGGTAATGACTATTATAAAGCAGCAAGAGCATGGAACCAAGGCGAACCTCGAACTGAAAAAGATCCAAATGCCGGTAGGGCATATGCTGACGATATTATTCGACGAATGAATGAATAAGAACACCATAGATCATCTCGTAAAAATTATTATTAATTTCCGAACATTATTTTACTCTCTATCATATTAAACAAGAAAATTTATCCTCACAAAAATATTTTGTAATTGATACATTGAACTTTTTTATGTGTGATAGAGTCCAGAAGACCCTGAGGGTGAGGGTGAGAATCAAGAGGTAGTACCTACGAGCCATTCCATATAAGCCGCAGCCGATTTCTTATGACAGCGCTCAAAGGTCATTCGCCGATTTGGCTCATTTTCGCATATGTGATAGTGATAGGGGCAAGTGTTTGATGTATTTTGGTGAAAACCGATTAAAAAAATATTGAATCGTTCGGTTTTTATAGCAGTTTTATTGAAAGCACTATAAAATCGACTTTTTCAAGGAACGATTTTGAACACTCAGAAAAGTCAAGAAAACATCAATCGTTTGTGCTGAAATTTTTCGTACATCAACATCCAGGTAAGTTCTACATGTGCTGTAAATTTCAACTGAAATGATTGGATGGTTGGTATTTTATGGATCTCACAATTTACGAAAAAATGACTGCTTTTAACAACTTTCGACCCTTATATCTCCTGATTGTGGGATGATAGAGGTCTGAAATTTTCAGGACAAGTACGTCCTAGTACCATCTATATATCCTATAAATTTCAGCCCTTTAGAGCAAAGCATTCGTGTAGAACAAGTGAAACGAAAATGAAATTTTTCAAAAATAACGATTTTCGACCTCAGTTTTCTCCCAGGAAATTACCTAACTTTTTAAATCTCCTATCCAGCTTTGAAGACCCCACCTAGGTCTACAACCTGCCATAGAAGAAAACTTGGGACGCACACGAGCCGCTTCACAATTTGCCAATCTTTTACACAAAAAATGAGTTTTGCGAACTCCACTTTCGAGACCTAATTTTTTCTCAATATCTCGCGAATGGTTCATCCAAGAGGTTTGAAGCTTTCAGGATTGATAGATGTCAAGGAACAAAGGAAAATATGCGCCAGAATTGAGGCTTCACAATACCTGGATCTGAGCATTAATTGAATTCTATTAGATAAGAACTATTCTGGTCGTTTCTTCTCCTATATTTTTCTTTCCGCTTAATTCGATCGAACTGAAGTTTTTTCCATAAATAGTTGTTGAGCCTAGAGCCTTTGTGGCAGACTTTATCGTTACTATATAATGTGAAAGTAGTGGAGCTATAAACCTGTTCGAAACCAAAGGGAAGCATTCTGCTATAGCGCCGTATATTATATATATATAATATTTGGTGGGACTGATTTATTTCCGAAATTAACTTGGTCTTATATGTTTGACAGAATCATTTCACTTTTTACTAAGAATCAGTCTGTCTGTATTGTTATTGTTGATGTGTAGATACACTCATAAAATTTTTAAAAAGCTACAAAAACTATCTATAAACTAATCAAAGTAGAGATGAAGAAATTCTGATTCATTCAGTGTTAATTCCCATCAATTGAGACGTCAGTTCATGTTTAGGAGTAATACCATATTTTCGTGCTATTTTCCGTAATGGATACTTAATTCTCTTTCTCGTAGAGAAGAGTCTTAGAAACATAAATTGTTTGCTTGCTTGCTTGCTTGTATGTCCGCAGGGTCAAAAAACATTGAAAATCAATTTTTCCGAAAAGACATTTCTAGATGTATTTCGATGCGGAGACTTCGAATCTGATGTTATTTTTTGGAAAATTTTGATAAAAAAAGTTTTTTGAGACAAAGATCCAATTTTTTACAAAAATTTTTTTTTATAAAATTTTACCAAAGGGTTTTTGGGGTCCAGGAATTCAAATTTGATGTTAGTTTCTCGAAATTTTTTGTAAAAAATGATTTTCTAGACAAAGAGCCGCTTTTTACAAAGAAAAGCTCTTTTATAAAATTTGACTAAGGAGGTATTGGGGTCGAGGAACTCGAATCTGGCGCTATTTTTTTTAAATGTTTAGATGGATTAGTTTTTTTATACAAAGGGCGACTTTTTTGTAAAAAACAGTTTTTTTTATGAAAATTTACCGAAGACATTTTGGGGTCAGGCATTGTACCTGCCTTCGCTATAACTACATACAAAGCACAAGGACTCATAATGAACAAAATCGTAGTCGATCTCCAAGTTCCGCCTGGGACACTGCAAGTAGCATCGATATATGTACCACTCAGTAGAGTGAAGAAAGGGGATGATATAGCTGTCCTTCGACCTGTTGACATGAAGCTTCTACAAGTTCAACCTTCTTCTGCGCAAGATTCTGAACTGAAGCGTTTAGATGAACTTGACAAAAAGACAAAACGAGAGTGTACCTCTTTCATTTTTTGAAACATGTGTAAATCAATACTTTGCTAAGAGTCTAGTGTTATTGCAAGCATATAAAACGTATTATACTTTGAAATCACCTTAAAACAATTATTAACGCATGCTTATTTTCTTTATCTCTTGCTTCACATTTATCTTAATTATTGTAGTAACTGTCTCTTTTCTCTCATTGCATTAGATATTGCCTATCGTGTTTTCTTAATTTCGTTTTTTGATGTAATCATCCATAATCTTCCTAACTGTATTGATATTTCTTCACAATATCTAATGCTCTATTTAGCATTTGGTATAAATATCTATTGTGGCTTTTGTGAAAATATCTAATCTACACTAGAAATAAATCAAAATACACAATAATAGCTTTAAAGTGTAATATCCGAAAGCACGATTTCTACGAGAAAGAGCTGAGCGAGTCGCTAGACGAGCGTTACTTGTTTGACTTAACGTAGGATACTCCTGCGTTTGAAAGATTTTCTCTCCATTTTGACATCGCTTTGTGCGTAGCTGTTGTTGGAATTCCTGTACAGTGAACTTCGAACGGGATTCTTGTGAATCCAGCCAGACCTTTTCAATGAAGTTTTAACATTGTCACTCATAGGATTGGTATGTTTACGTGTTCGCAGACCCCATCCAATTGACGAAAACTTTTGGCAATGAGCAGACGTTGTGAGATCGACATGTGACATGTCTTGATCTTGAGGGTGGGTGTGGCTTGTTGCCGAGCATCGATACCAGTTGCTCGTATGAATTCTGGGAGATGCAGTCGAGCAATATCATTTGCGGTTCGTGACTGAGTTGGTTGAACATTATGTAAATTGGCGGATATATGGAAAAAACTTCAGTTCGATCGAATTAAGCGGAAAGAAAAATATAGGAGAAGAAACGACCAGAATAGTTCTTATCTAATAGAATTCAATTAATGCTCAGATCCAGGTATTGTGAAGCCTCAATTCNTTGATAGATGTCAAGGAACAAAGGAAAATATGCGCGAGAATTGAGGCTTCACAATGCCTGGATCTGAGCATTAACTGAATTCTATTAGATAAGAACTATTCTGGTCGTTTCTTCTCCTATATTTTTCTTTGCGCTTAATTCGACCGAACTGAAGTTTTTTCCATAAATAGTGACTATTTTTCCAGCATTTTGAGTTAGTTTTCCCCTTTTGAGAATGTGTTTTCCAACCAGGGAAGTTAGAAATATTGGATAATTCCAAAAGTTTTTCTGTCTGATCCCTAATACGGCGATAGTAAATGATTCATGAAAAGGTGAATAGTTCTGAAGAAAGAGCAGATACAAGAGAAAAAGCCACAAATTTACTAAAACTATAGATTGAATGTCTTCGGTTTGTCAGAACAAAAACTTATTGATTTTTTATTGTTCTGCAACATAGATTCTATATTGATTCTGTTAACGGAACAATGGTAAATAACAAAATTTATATTATTCAACTATTGTTATTTTCGAGTTGACTGTTAATTTATCTTGTTGCAAGACAATATTAACATATGCCTCTTAATATTAAAAGATGTGTGGTTTTGCGTAATATAACAGTACGACGCTCCATTGAAGTATGAATAAATGAACTGGGCAGAACAACAAAATATACACAATATCCAAGTGCAGTCAAAAGAACAAGAAAGGCGATCACTCCACCGTTGTTAATGAACTTTGTTCTTCTTTTCTTTTGCACTACAATGAGATATCATAGGTTGTATAGTTCATAGTGCATCGAGTAAGACTGTATTAGAAGACGAAAAAGTACAAAAGTAAAAAATAAATGAAGAAAAGTGTACTTTTTTTTAACTCATAAACTGATTGTTCTACAAACTATTCGAAAAGATGAATTTGAATTGTATAATCTCGATTGTTGCACAATAGAGAAGGGATTACGTGAATAACTCATAATATAGACATCAGCGATAACAATACAGACAGACTGATTCTTAGTAAAAAATGAAATGATTCTGGCAAACATATAAGGCCAAGTTAATTTCGGAAATAAATCAGTTCCACCAAATATTATATATATATAATATACAGCGCTATAGCAGAATGCTTCCCTTTGGTTTCGAACAGGTTTATAGTTCTACTGCTTTCACATTATATACTAACGATAAAGTCGGCCACAAAGGCTCTAGGCTCAACAACTATTTATGGAAAAAACTTCAGTTCGATCGAATTAAGCGCAAAGAAAAATATAGGAGAAGAAACGACCAGAATAGTTCTTATCTAATAGAATTCAGTTAATGCTCAGATCTAGGCATTGTGAAGCCTCAATTCTCGCGCATATTTTCCTTTGTTCCTTGACATCTATCAATCCTGAAAGCTTCAAACCTCTTGGATGAACCATTCGCGAGATATTGAGAAAAAATTAGGTCTCGGAAGTGGAGTTCGCAAAACTCATTTTTTGTGTAAAAGATTGGCAAACTGTGAAGCGGCTCGTGTGCGTCCCAAGTTTTCTTCTATGGCAGGTTGTAGACCTAGGTGGGGTCTTCAAAACTGGATAGGAGATTTAAAAAGTTAGGTGATTTCCTGGGAGAAAACTGAGGTCGAAAATCGTTATTTTTGAAAAATTTCATTTATGTTTCACTTGTTCTACACGAATGCTTTGCTCTAAAGGGCTGAAATTTATAGGATATATAGATGGTACTAGGATGTACTTGTCCTGAAAATTTCAGACCTCTATCATCCCACAATCAGGAGATATAAGGGTCGAAAGTTGTTAAAAGCAGTCATTTTTTCGTAAATTGTGAGATCCATAAAATACCAACCATCCAATCATTTCAGTTGAAATTTACAGCACATGTAGAACTTACCTGGATGTTGATGTACGAAAAATTTCAGCTCAAACGATTGATGTCTTCTTGACTTTTCAGAGTGTTCAAAATCGTTCCTTGAAAAAGTCAATTTTATAGTGCTTTCAGTAAAACTGCTATAAAAACCGAACGATTCAATATTTTTTTAATCGGCTTTCACCAAAATACATCAAACACTTGCCCCTATCACATATGCCGAAATGAGCCGAATCGGCGAATGACCTTTGAGCACTTTCGTTCGTGGCTTATATGGAATGGCTGATAAATAGACATCTGATAGACTAATCTCAGTTCGAATATAAATAGATGTATATCTATACAATTCTACAAGTTTAGCAATAGATAGGAATTGATTTTGTTATACATAGTTTCAGGAATACTCTCAGTCGAGCTATACGTCAGCCTGTGTCCATAGGTATACACAGGTGTAACTAAAACCATCCCTATCTGTTCCTAAACTTGTAGAATTGTATAGATATACATCTATTTATATTCGAACTGAGATTAGTCTATCAGATGTCTATTCCCTTTTCTGAAAGAAAGGGTTATACAGCGTTTAAATGCTGTGTTAAAAAGCTTAAAGTTTGTCTGTCTGTCTGTCTGTCTGTCTGTCTGTCTGTCCTATCCAATCAGAAATCAGCATTTCTAAAATCAATGAAATTGATCGATAGTTGTTAGAAAATGATTACCCCTAGGGTAATCGAGGTCGAGGAACTTGAATCTGAGGTTAGTTTTAACTAATTATTAACTATTAATTAACTATCTGTCAACTAGACATAGATTATTAATATACAGAGTAAGGGTTGANTGAGTGGTTCACCGGAGAGAGGCCGACAAACGAATAGGCGTTATAATTTCAGAAGATTTCAGGAAGCGAAATTGGTCTAAGTAAAACATTCTGACAAACTATCAAATGATCAGATCGTTCAACTGAAACAACTTTTTTCTCTCTTCGGACGAATAGTAGCGCTCTAATACTATCCTTTCAGTAGAGGTTTAGCGGCTACTAGGCCGCGTTACTTGTAGGCTACATACATCATGTCTTTTTATTGGAATTTAGTGGAAGCAGTTCGCAAAGTGATATACCCGTCGATGGAATTCTATCTTAGTAACTACAGACACGTGAACTATACAAACAGTATTCTGAACACATGCAGCACTATGAAAGATGTTCGTTTCGAAGCAAATCATACAATAAGACTTTTTTATCTAGTTTCTTTTGGTAGTCGAATGAATAGAAGATCATGACTATCGAAGCGACAATAAAAGAAAGCTCAATCACTCAGTTTGAAAGTTAATCAAAGGCGAAAGGAATAACAGAGACAGCATGGTAGCGGCTAGCCGTGACTGACCGACCGGAGGGAGATCGACCAACGACTAGACGTTTAGATGCTAGATTAATCCTAAAGTGTACGCTTAGAATAATCTTGCGAGGCTTCCGATAATTTTGAAAGGGATTTGACGAATGGATATTCCTCAATGAAAATATTCGGCAGGGTATCATTTCGTTGACAGGAGAGAAAAGAATCGATTTATCGCTGGGTGAAACAGGCGAATGTTCAAACTTTTCAAGTAGTCTACTGTATATCGTCCGTCTATGAGTGACTTAGTAAAGCATTTATGAAAATTTCCATGGGCGTGATCTGAAAAAAGAAAAACAGATGACAAAGTCAATGGTTGGCCGTGAGTAGCCGTTGAGTGATGAATTTTTCAGTCAATATAGTTAGTGCTGGAGAATTATCCACTGACAAATGGCTAATCGGCCTGATTCCTAAAAAGACCTCTGTATCCTATTCATTCCAGTTCTAGTGTGTGACATAGTGACATGATTCAGTTGAGCACTAGTAGTAATCGCAGTGCGTTTTTTCTCTTTCAAAGTCTCTGAATGTGTTCAGCATTCGGAAAAGTCTTTCAGAAAAGGGTCAGCGAATCCAAAGGATGAGCGTTACTTGTTTACTATTGTCATAGATTCTGATGCAGTTTTCCATGGGGATTCTGATTATCACATTGGTTTTATCAGTCGAGCGCGAAATGTCAGAGATACATTAGTTTTTATGTCGTGATGTCGACTAGGTTTTACTCAAATTGTGCATAAGCCGTTCTTGGTATTTGGCCTAGATCTCGGTGAAAACTGAACCAAATCGAAAAACATTTTTTACCAAAATACTCAGCTTGAAAAGTTCTACAAACGTAGTAAGTTTGAGCGGAATCTGAAAACATCGGCGAATGGACCTGGTGGTTTCCCATAGAACTACCCATATACAAAATTTTATGGCCTCAATAATTACTGATTCAATTTGTAAAGCTCCTATATTGCAAACTATATTTCTATTCATAGTTAGATATTCGCTATACCTCCAAGTCGTCATAATACTTAATTATCCTGACAGCAACTAGCGCACTCTTGTTTATGAGATCTTATGAATGATTTATGATTGGTTCTTCGATTATATCAAATACTTCCTTCTCAACGAAGTTTTGGCATTTACTTTAATGAATCATTAACAATGTTCTTATTTTATATTTTACAAACATTTTCGAACGAATAATTAGTAAATAAAATAAAATTCAGTTGGCTCTCCATACAGCTTTTTACTAATTATCCACTTTTTCTTCTCAATCGATAATATATGTCATGCTATACTTATTAAATTCAAGAATATGATTAAGATTTGAAATTGATAGACTGTACACCTTTAACCTTATTGTTTTCATATTAACCACGTAAATTATTCTGCCTTTCTTTTAAAGTAGATACTTGAAATGTGTCATTGATAGAAAATATTCTAAGCTAATCTAAAAATAAATCATTAATTTTACTTCTGACTTTTGTAAGATATAGATCAGACATTGATTGATAATATAGTAGATGTACTTATGTTATTACTTACAGGATAAATTGATATTGAATTTGATAAATAAGATTTCGGCCTTTTAAAATTTTTCAAATAGAATGAAAGAAGAAAACCAAGCTATTTATTGTGATCGATTCAACTTTCAGTACAAAATATTGAACAAGAATAGAAAGACTTAACGGAAATCTATATCTATAAAAATTTATACTTACCACGATTCTCTATAGATGTATGTTTGAATATGCTAACTTGTCTAATTATTTTATCGATATATTTATGAATGTATTAGCAAATAAATGCCATTTACTTAGAAAATTCTCAGTAACTGTTTGCCAAGTAATGACGAAATTCGAATTACTCATCTTCATAACATGTATTCTTTTTGGTAATGACACGTGTAAAACTCTCATTCAGGCTTCCCGATCAGGGGGAGGGGGGCTGATGGGAGCTTGCCCCCAGCAAAAATTAGGTTGTTTCTGGGAATTGTTTTTTTGGATATACTTGAACGACACTCGCTGTCCTGGTCTGTTCGAACCAGCACAATATCTGGGCGACATCTGTCAGACATCGCTTGTTGTACGGAACAACTCACCCATCCTAATTGATGGTATGAGCAAAGTTGCGACCTTCTATGTTTGCTTCAGTAAAGCCAGACCAATACGACTTCTGGCAGAAAATCCAGTTCTGTCTGCGTCTCTTTCTGGCAAGCACTATGTCGATGTCTCGCTATGTACCACACAAAAGTCATCTACCTGGCAACTCGTTTCGGTTATTTCGTATATAAACGTCTTTAACATGTTTTCCTCTTACACTATTTCAGATTTGTTTTCATGGCTCCTGTGACAGTGTTCACTACCAGTAGTGTTATTAATTGCCCATCGTGTGCCAAAAAAATGCTTTTTAAAAATTGGAAAGACCATTGTCGACAAAAGCATGCCATGTCTCAAGCAGCGTTCGATATCGCATACGATATATTGAAAAAACAAGTGGAACAGACGAAAACAGCTGCAACAGCATCTGCCACGAGCAGTCATCCTATTCCGCAATGTTGAACATTTGGGAACCAGTTCCGCCGACGGAATCGATTCCTACGATTCCAGAATTCCGTAAACGGAATTCTGTCGTGTATAGGGGAGATGATATGTGAGAGTGAAGGGAGTGGGTGTAATTCCGGAATCGCTTCGGGTGAATTCCGGAATCGTAGGAACTGATTTCCAAATGTACAACATTGCGGAATAGGATGTATTCTCTAACGAAGATGTAGCTCTTTAATTCCTTCTTGATGCTTCTGATATATCCTTAGCAGTTCTTTGGGTATTCAATCTTAATGATACGAATCAACGTTCAGCACTCAGTATTAGCAGCATATCTCAACACGAAGATGAAGAAGAAATTCTGATTTTACGTTACATTCCTTTTATAATCACATCTGTTGTTAAACAAGATGGTGGAATGACAGAGATTTACCTTACACAATATTCAGAAGATATATCTCAGCTAAATCAACCAACAACAAATATGATACATTCATTTCCCATGGACGATTCGGGAAGTGAACTTGAATTAACTGAATATGATCACAATGATCAACCTTTATTATCGATAACTTGATCATTTCAACAAGAAAATCGATATTTTTCATCGTTGAAAACATATCTTCGAAATAAAATAGTTTAGTTCCATAAAGAATAAAAATATCATGTGTAATTGCCTTGTATAAATAAGCGTAACCTATTAATCAACATCTGTTCCGACAGTTCTCTTTTGTCGCCGACCCACAAATGACAGACGAGAGAAAATTTTCTCTTTCATAATCATTTTTCTCCTTCTGTTCTCTTGTTTTTCTTGTCCATATTCTCAACTAATATGATATGTGATTATTTCTTCTTTCAGTCAGTCAGTCAGCATCGATTCTTTTCTTTTTCCTCCAGTTGACATTTTGTGAAGGAGAACAGAAAGAGACACGCGGATTTGATTTCTCAATTTGATTGAAGTTTTTTTTTGTCTCGATGAGTCTTTATCGGTCGATTTGTTATACGTTTTATCCTCGACGTCGCCGGAAATCTTCTTTCTTTCTGATGATTTTTATCATATTGTTGTATTATTATTATCAAT